AGAGTTTGTTGTGTGACCTCCAACAAGCCACGTGCCCTCTGGGCCTGTGTTTCCAAAACAAACAGGGTTTCTGGAAGCCCGTCACTGTTTGAGCTCAAGGGCAGCGCTGGGACTTGTAGCGTGCTCAGCTGTATCAAGTGTCCCCTCGCTGCCTTGCAGCTCAGGCCTGGAGAGCACAGTAACATACCACACAGCCTGCAGGAGCCAACTGTCTCCTTCAGCCAAATGATGTTGCTGTCACACATCAACACATGCAGCTGCCAGCCTGAAGCAGAGGAGAGGCTCTGACAACCAGTGCAGCACATCTGGGGTGGCCTTAGGAGACAGGGTCCCCATCTCCTTAATGTAACTTTCTTCTCTTTAGGTTCTACCTAATGTCTCGGAGCTCTATTTAAATGATGTCCCTCCAGTCCCCACCTTGGCAGACATTGTGTGGATAGCAGCAGATGATGAAGAAACATACGCCAGAGTCAGGTTGGGTTCCTCTTTGTGTCTGCTGGTCCTTACTTCTATACACCGGTTTATTTCTCACAGCATAGGTCTGATATTGATCAAACGACTGCAGCTTCCAGCCCTCTCAAGGTCTGATGTGGTGCCTGTGGAAAGACATTTTTCCCAATGATGGAGATGGAAAGGAGATGGAATAAAAACAAATTGGACAAAGGATGCTGGGAGCAATTCCTGTAGGAATGCTAAGAGCCTGTGTCATGCCATGTTTTACCTACCGAGAGATCTGTGTAGAGCAGCCCCCTTAATCTGTATTAGATTCTGGTTAGAAAGTTGGAAACTTCCTGGTTAGAAAGTTGAAGAGTCGAGTTCTCTTGGGATTGAAATGTTCTGGTCCCAGGAGTTTGGTTCTGGTCAGCTGAACTTTTGTACTTAAAGCAGGGCAATAGTAACAGGTACCTTGTGAAAGATAAACAGGTTTCAAAGTCACAGTAAAGTTAATCAGTAAGTGATGTTTCCCACGTGCACCCAGCACACTGCCTGGCATGGAGACACAGCTACCAGGAGAAAAGTGACTTGAAGCTCTCTGAGCACGCCCCAGCTTTTGTCCCTGTGTCCTCTCACTGGATCTTGTGCTGTAGTTTTGTATTCCTTGTAATTTTCCATGGTTTCACATTCCTCGTAGTGCAGAGAGCACACACAGTGGCACATACAGCGCAGTGGTGCAGTGATTCATTGTGTTGAAGTCTTCTGCTGTCCTGAGGTGGAGGAAGAGCTTTGCTGTGCTGTTGTGGTGGAGGGGTCTGGACCTTGTAAATGACCAACAGGTTTTTGTCCTGTAGAAGTGACACTCGCCCGCTGAAGCACAAGTGGAAGCCGAGTCCCTTCACTGTTATACAGCGAAATGCTTCAGTCCCCAACCTGAGGAAGCAGGAGGAGAAGCTGCTCGCCTTGAAGAAACCTGGTTTACCAGCACTGAGCCGAACAACAGAGCTCCAGGATGAGCTGAGTCACCTTCGGAGTCAGATAGCTAAAATAGTCGCTGCAGAATCAGGTAGGAACATCATGCACTTTGGTTTGTTGAATGAGAAGGGCTGACTTAGTGAACCACGTTATTCCCCCACACTAATCAGACTTGCAAGTTGTTCCTCCCGCAGAGCTGTGGCTGCTGCTGCTGGGATGGCACCTTTGGTGTCAGCACAGTGCTAGTTCTGTGTTTAGGTGTTTGCATTTGTTTCATTGGAGGATTCCAGCTTGTTTGTAAGAAGTAACACGTGCTGCTTTGTGGCTGCATTGGCTGTGGGGGCTGAGGCATGTCAAGTACCTCAAGTCATGAAAAGTTCCTGCTCCAAGGTGGCCATGAGCACGAGGATTACATCTTGATTTGGGTAGGAAGGAGATGTTAGTGTTTGTTTCTGGTGTGAAAGTGGCGGTGCCATTTCTGTGGCAGAGAAGTGTTTGGGGAAAAGCCTGGTTTATTTAGAGCTGAGCTGATTGATTGCTTTCTTGTAGTAAAATTGCACGCAGTTAAAAGCCATGTGTTAGCCAGAAAGCTGTCTGTGAAAAAAGGCTTTTTACTTCTCTTCCTTTCGTGTGTTTTCCTGTATACTCAGCTCTGAAAATACAATGATATTTGGTAAGGTCCAAATCCAGACAGGTCTTTGCTTTTACAGTGCTGGTCCGGAGTATGGAAACGAGTAAGACAGAGATCTCTTAGTATCTATTTAGGAAGTATTCAGAGGCAGAGATGTTGCTCTCCCTGCTCAAAACTACTGAACAGTTTTGCAAACTAAAGGAATTTAGTCCTTCTTGAGAACAGCTTTTCTGAAGAGCTGCATTTCTTTTCTTGCCAATAACCAAGGCAGCAGCTGTGTTGTTGCTGTTTCCCAGAGGAGAAAGAGCACCTCTAATTCTTCCCATTGCTTACAAAAACCCAAGCAAGCAAACAAAAAACCCAAACAAGCAAACAACCCGACAACAACAACAAAAGGGGATTGTGCCACACTTGAAATGATGCCAGGCAGGTTAATTCCTGTTTATGATGGGTAATAGTGGCTGGTGAAACCTTCCTTATCCTCCATCTGAAAGCAAGTGATGTTTTTAATTCCCAGATGGCTGCTTTGTACTGTGTAGTGTGCAGAGACCAAACCTCTGGTGATCTCTGAAAGACACATGGTTGCCTGATGATTGCAGCCTCAAGCTACAGCTTGCAGCTTTAATGACAGCTTACATTTGACCCAGCTATCCACGACCCATCCGTGCATTTGAACAGGAAACAGAGTCATGGTGTTTGATTTAGTTAAAATGCTCGTTTCTACATGGCAGATTTTGATGGGGGTTTTGTGCAGTTCAGTCAATGGACTCCAGGAATCTCCTTGACATCAGTAAGGTAAATGCTTAGGCTGCCACACGAGAAGACATGGGATGCATTTAGCTGTGATGCAGGGTATGTATGAGGTGCTTCTGATGATCTGTGCACGCGCAGAGAGCACCATCTCCTTGTGCTGGTGTTTGTGGTCATCTTTGCTCCTCTCTCAGGACACTGGACCCTGGCACACCTCTTGCCTCCACTGGTACAGTGGCACATGAGATTGAAGCCACCCTGGGCATGAGGGAGACACAATTACCCTCAACTCTGCAGGGAGCAAGCGTAAAACAAGGCATCACAGATGTCCCCTGCAGAGAGGCTGCGTGTGTCCTCTTTCTTCTTTATGTGAGATCAGAGGAACAGCTGCATTGGAATAAAGATCAGGGGAAATTCTGCTTTCTTTCTGAGCATTGTCTCAGCTCTGCACTTGCTCAAGCTGGGTGCTAGAAAAGTCCATTTTAATTCAAGGACAGTAATAATGAGGAAAATTGGAGATCTGGATGGCAGAAAAATGATTTAATCATTTAATACCTTTCTCGCCCTCTCCACTCAGCAGTGGGCCTGGCTGTTACCAGCTGGCATTTGAGAACAGTTCTTATTGACTTTGTGTCCTCTAAGTCAATAACAGGGAGCTGTGATGTAGGGCCCTGCTGTGACTTGTAATCTGATGAAGGACATAACTGTTTAGCAGACTTATTTTGGAAGGATTGATGTCAAAAAAGAAACACTCTGCAATCTGCTTTGTTATATAGTGTTAGAGAAATCCCTGCGTTGGAAAGTGATAACCATCTACAAGTTTGCTCTGAGGCCAAGGGCAGTAGTGCTTTAAGGTACAGTTTGTTTTCAGTACAGGAAGATTCTTTCACAGAGGTGTCCACTAAATGCTTTTCTGGGGGTTTGGTTGTTTTCCCTTAATGTTTTTCACTGGAAATACCAAACTCATTTTCACTTAGCACTTGGAATTTATCCAGCTTTTGATACCCTCACTGTGTTTTAAAGTGTGAGCAAATCAGTCCCATTGTCCCTGCAAAACCAGGGGGATGCTATTCTCATTTTACAGATGGTGATGGAAAGCAAAGCAGGTCAAAATGCCTGCAGTGACAGAGTGGATCACTGTCACTGACTAGTGTAACGTGCTGGAGCTCCTGAACCAGCTCTGCATTCTCACCAGGCAGGATGCTTATGGGGGGAAGGAGTGTGAAAGGAGCAGCAAGGCAAGAAGTTCTTAAGGTGCTGGAGAAAACTAGGAGGAAAGTTAAACCAACCCAGACCTACGTTCTGCCCCAGGCTCCCTCTGTGACCCTGAGCAGCAGCTCAGTCTCTGTTCCTTAGCTGTAACACCAGACAAAATAAGCATGGCCTGGCAGCAGGGATGGGGTGCAGTGGTGGAACTGGAGGGGTGATCCACTGGTGGGCACAATAGGAATAGAGATAGGTGGGGGGGTTGGTGGGATGAAAGGTATCGGAGGTCTTGTGTTGGAATGTGGTGTCGTAGGAGGCAGAGTGGACATGGAGGGGATCAGAGAATAGGATGACTTTGTTCTCTCATGTCATGGGGGAGGTTGGCTGATGATACCTCTCGATTTATATTCTGTTGGTTGCCATGAGTTCATCTATCCACCTGTATTGTTTTCTCTTTCAGCTTCTGCCTCATTTACACCAGATTTACTATCTCCAGGAAGTTCAAATGCATCTTCTCCTTTACCTTGTTTCGGACCCTCTTTCCAATCTACAACCTCCTTTGTCATTAGTGACATCACGGAGGAGGAGGCAGAGCTGGAGAGCCCCGAGCTCCCGTCCGTGTCCCTGCTCTGCTCTGCAGCCTCCGAGTGCTGTAAACCAGAGTCAAAGGATCCTGACGACGAGGATTCCGTGTCTCTTTCCAAGGCCAGCAGTTTTGCAGACATGATGGGCATCCTCAAAGACATTCACAGGATGAAACAAAGCAAAGACTTGTAAGTGCTTCCTGAACACGCATGATTTTGTTGTCTTGTCTTTTTTTCCTGCCTCTGCAATCGCTGTAGAGGCTGGATGCTGCATTCCCTGCTCCTCGCTGCTGCTCTGTGAGTCACAGTGGGGAAATTCCTCTCTGTAGTGGAATGTGGTAGCACGTGTCTGGGTTTGGGGTTTTTTTAATGATGGCTTTACCTGCCTGGGTAGAAAGCAGTGGAGGGGAACCTGCACCATTAAGCACAATGTTTGCCTGTTCCAGCTTGTTTACCTGCACAAAAAAGCCCAGATGAAAAGGATGTGGATCAGCAGCTGCTTTGCTTGCAGTGCTTCCAGGGGCTGGTTCTTACCCCATCCCACAGGCCTCGGCAGCATCCCCAGAAGCTCAGCAGCTCTTTGTCACATACAGAAATTAACACATGGAGCTTCTCAGCCTTTGCATCTGGCCCAGCTTTGAGCTTTGGGCAGGGTTTTGCTTGTCTCATAATGAGTTTACACACTGCAAACCCCTCAAGTGCCATGGCAAAGGCATTAGGCAAAGAGGGAATCTCAAGCAAAATCCTGGTGTGTGGTGGGACAGGGATTGGGGTGAGGCTTCCCCTTCCCTGGGGGCCTGTAACTGCCACTGTAACGGGCATCCCCTGGCTCTGGGAACTCGAGAGGAGCTTAGAGATGCTTCATGCTGTGCCATGGAATGGTTTCATTTTAAACGTGTACCTCAAGGGCTGAGATGCACAGGGAACAATCTTGCAGTTAGTGCAGCCTGGTCTGTCAGCCTGCTCTGGAAGCAGACTTTGCAGGGTGAGAAAACTGCTGCCATCTGGGCCAGGTGAAGAGGGAAACGTGCGTTATTCAGGGGCAAAAAGCCCCTTGGACAGATCCAGATCATGGTGGGGAAAGTCGAGTGCCAGGGAGGCGGGGTGGGGAGGCTGTGAAAAGCAGCCCGTGGGTGACAGGGAACAGTGTGGTGTAAGGGGTCACAGTTTACTTTGATTTCCTCAACAGAGCGTATGAGAACTACTAATGGCTGGAGGTGTTTGGCTTTGCTGTTACCCAGGGGGAGGAGCTGTGTGAATGAGTAGGGGGAAGACCTGGCTTGTGCTCAGAGAAAGGCTTTACCAGCAGTGTTAATGCTTTTTAACATCACAGGAGATGGGGGAGAGCAGAGATTTGGGTCTGGGGGATACTTGGGGGAGAGGGAAGCTGCCAGATCCCTCCTTGCTGGGCACGGAGGGGACAAAAGGACCCTTCTGCCCTTGTGACAGAGCAGGGAGCCTGAGCTGGGTCACACTGCTGCAGCTGCCTTCGGAACACCTCAACACAAGAGTTTGAGACTGTTCCTGCTGGAGGTGAATGTTGTCCCTTCATCTGCTTCTCCACCTCAGCCTCTGACTTGCTTCCTACATGCAACACCGACTTTAGGATCTGGTTGTTGTAGCTTAATGAAAGTTGTACAAATCACAGGCGGCTGAAAAATTACCTTGAATAAATCCTAAAGCCCTGATGTTCATCACTTGATGAGCATTAATTCCTAGACCCATCCCCTGGAGCTGATGCTGTGGTGTGAGCAGCCCTGTGCTCACTCTGTGCAGTTCTCCTCATGTGAGTATGTGGCAGTTGTAGCACTTAAAGAGCGTGTGATCCTTTTAAGTAGATGAAGGTTCCAGATAATGCTTAATGAGATAACTACAGAGAGGCTTCTGTGATGCTCCTATTTAGGACTTGGTACTTAAACACAACCCTGGAAGCTTCAGGAATGAGTGAGAAGCATTTGCAGAACTGTGCATGTTGCACAGAGGTAGGATGCTTCAGTAACAGAACACTACAGGAAAAGGCATGTGCAGTGCTAAGTGGAGGGAAATGTGGAGCAGCCCTCCTTTAAAATACATGTCAATGCCCATCCTTAACTAGGAGAGCACCTATCCATTGGATAGCCAAATTCCTGAAGAAGAAAAAACCCTTCCAGGACTTACCTCCAACACCACTTGTGGAGTCCCATTGAGGATGTGTTGCTGTAAATAATGAATGAAGTTTTATTTCATTTACTTGTTAATAACACAGTGAAATAAAAATTATAAAGAGCTTCAATGCTGAGCTTTTCAGGATACCCCTTGATCCACAGAATGAGCTCCAGGTTTTCAAGCCAGCAGGAAAGGTCCAGGTTTTAAATGCTTTTTGCATCTCCTCCATTTGCAGCAAAAGCTCATCATAGAGACTGGTTTGGGTTAGAAAGGACCTTAAGATCACCCAGTTCCAACCCCCTGCCATGGGCAGGGATGCTTCACACTAGACCATGTCACCCAAGGCTCTGTCCAACCTGGCCTTGAACACTGCCAGGGATGGGGCGTTTTGGGCAACCAGCACCTCAGCACCCTCGCAGTAAAGAACTTCCTTGTATTTATTTCCCCTGTTTTAGTTTAAACCCACGACAAGGGCTGCAGAAAAATACTTAAAGAGTCTCAAGCCAGGGCTGCAAACCATCGGGTTGGCACTTCCCTTTGCTAACACTCTGTGCTTTTGCCTTCCAAGCAGAAACCGAACGTCGCTGAAGGAGGAGGACCCAGCCGTTCTCATCGCAGAAGTTCTGAGAAGAAAATTTGCCCTCAAGGATGAAGATCTGGCCCTGAAGGAGAAGTGATGCTCCTGGCATTAAACTCTGCAAGCAAGTGCTCCCAAAATTCTTTCCACAGTAGCTGCCTTCCTAAGGATGGAGCCTTTTGCCTCTTTTATTGATGAGAAATGGTTTCTGCGCTGGACACTGACTTAGGAAAGACCCTTTGGATTTGGTGTGTTTTCCATGTATTGTTACATTTAACAAAAAAACTTTTTAAGAAGATGGAAATTCTTTTCCACCTGTATTTTGATGTTGATTATTGCTGAGGATCTTCTAGAGTGAAACACGTGCTGCTGGATGATGTTCTTCCCACCTACAATTTTCCTTAGGTTCACATTAAGCATTAGCTTCTGACGGCCTCGTTCCAGTATGACCAGTTACCATTTCCAGTATAAAGGAATGGCAAAGAGCCCCTTCTGTTGCTTGTTCTGAGCATGGTACAGAGCTACTGAGAATAAGCTACCCAACACTTCCAGGGCTTCAGTGTTTAAGAGGTGGTTGAATGACAGCAGTAGAAGGTGTCCTCCGGGTACCTGTGTCTGCCCCGTGGCAGGATGAACCCATGGGCAGGGATCAAAGCACTGGGTCCCACCAAAGGGCCACGAGCTGGTTTTACGCTGCCCTGGGTATTTCCAAGTAAGTTACCCCACAGCTGCATGACAGAATGGCCTTCATTTCTTGCCAGTAATTTAATGTTTCATTACTAGTCCTTGTATTCAGATAATGTACTTTATTTAGCACTCAGAAGGTCTATTTATTGCTAAGAACCGAGCACCCGCCACAAGAGCTGTCGCTGAGGAAGGGGATGAAGGAGCTCGGCATTTCCTGTGGCTACACTTCTGACTCTCTCCCACACCCCCTCTGCAGTGTTCCTCACGGCTGTATTTAAAGAATGGGGTTGGGTTTTTTTTCCCTTTATATAAAATGGAGCCTTAATAAGACAATGGTTGTCCTTGATATTATTAATGCACATGTCCAGACACGTCAGCGGTGGCGTTTGTATCTTGGGCAGGCTGGGGAGTGACATTTCAGCTGCTGCAGCCCAAGCCTGGCTGGTGGTGCTGCAGATGAGCGCACTCGGATGCCAAAGCCCTTGTTAATCCTCCAGCCTTCAGCCCTGGAAAATTAACTCCTCATCCCCACCTTAAAAGCAAAAGAAGAGGCTTGTAACAGCCCCTGGCCAGCGGGAGCAGGAGCAGCAGGTAAAACCTTATCATTTTTTTAGGGAGCTGATACAGCTCCTCCCCTCTCAGATGTGGGCCAAGAGCCAGTGGGTTATGCGACCCTTCTCCCTGTCCCAATATAAGGATTTGATGGGAATACACCTGCCTGTGGATAAGATGGAGCTGTAGCATAGAGTTCCTGGGTCCTAGGAACGTGCTCCATGTGCAGACTCCATATACAAGTGTATCAGCACAATTCCCTTCCGGGCTATGACTTAACTCCAGTTTGATCTATTGGACATTATAATTATTATACATTAATTATTGTACATTAATTCTGGCCCAAGGGGAGAGTAAAGGTGTCTTAAAAAGGGCCATTTGCAGTGGTAAAGAAGGACGTACCTGACGTTTAAAAAGAAAGATCAAAAGGTGGTTGGTGCTGCCAGGGCAGGCTGTTGTTCTGCAGCCTGATGGTGCTCACAGATGGGCTCTGCTGCTCATGACCCGGGGGTTTTGGAGCAGCTGATCTAAAGCAGGTGCCATCTCAAGCAGCCCATGCAAAAGCTGGGGTTTATGTTGAACGTGCAGCACAGAGGACGTTCCACTGCTGTTACTGAGACTGGCAACTGCCACGAGCAGTTACACCACTACAGACCCCTTGTACTGCCCGAGCACTCACTGCTCCCTACAGCATCAGCCAGAGGCCGTAACCCCTCAGGGGCAGCCCCTCTGCACCGAGGTGCATCCCTCCCGTGCAGGAGCTCCCAGCCCGGAGCTGGGCCTGCTCACACTTACTCAGACAGATGCACTGTGACAATTCCTCCTCTTTGCCACGGCTGCTTCACTTCAAAACTCGCCTCAGCCACACGGGCTATAACCAGGAGTCAGACACTCAAACCATTCCACACACAGTGCTTCAAAGCTTTACCTTTATTAAAGCCTCATCTCGGTGCACAGAGGGTCCTGCCTGACGCGTGGGGCTGCTGCCGGTGCTGCCTAAGCCACACACGCAGAAACGGGGGGTACCATTTCCCTAACGCTGATGAACCCGAGCTTCCCAACCCATCCCAGGGGAACGCGTCAGTGCTTGATCACTCTGCCCCCCTCCGAGTCCTGCGTGAACAGCAGCTCATAGCTCAGCTCCGGCTGCTGCTCCCCCCGGTCGCTCCAGCTCCATCCTGCAGCACCGCTGGAACAGCCCCGGGGGGGAGAGGGGGGCAGCTGCCTGCATGGAGATGGGCCCCCCCAGTGAGCGATTACCTTGTTCCCCTCCGAGTCCTGCGTGAACAGCTCCCTGCCGGGGCTGCCCCATCCTGCCTTGGCTGAAGCAGCGCCCGTGTTCTGGCTGCGCTCTCGCAGGGGCTGTGCTCGATCTGGTCCATGCAGAGACAGATCAAAGCCCCTCATGAGAGTGGGGGTTATATTCTCAGTAAAATCAGTTAAAGAATTAGCACTGCTCCCTTCTCGTGGCTTCTTATCCTGCTTTGCACCAAGTCTCGGGTGCAAGTCAGGGCCAGCCTTTGCCTCCTCTGGTTTGTTTGTCCTGCTGCTGGAGGCTGAACCTGCTTCTCCAGCCAGTACCTGGGCCTGGTGTGTGTGAGGGATGAGCTGGCTGCCCTCTGAACCGTGGCTGAGGCTGAAGCAGCAGCGACCCTCTCCTGCTCCCCAGGAGGCCTCGCTCCTGCTGTGGGTCTCCACGTGTGGGTCTGTGAAAGGATCTTCCTGTGCACGACGCTGGGCTGTAACCGGCGCCGTCCCCTCCTCGCTTCGGAAGGGTGGTTGGTGTTGGACTCCCTCCATCTGCGGCAAAGCCAAGATCTTCACAGGGGCTGCAGCCAAAGAAACACCTTTTCCTTTACAGTCCTTATTGGGGATGAAAGGAGGCGGCCTGGAGTTTTCTTTGTCTTTTTCATCTGAAAACAAGAAGGGGTCAGTGAAAGCCCGAGCTGGCACACACACTCCTCGGGGTCAGTCAGTACCCACAGCACCATCCCCTGATGCTCGGCTCAGAGCTGCCACTCGTGCTCTCTAGACCGGGCTGCTGCGGGTGAACGGCAGCCTCAAACACCAGAGGAGCTGGAGTCAGTCGGCTTCCCCATGGTGGGCTACAGGAGCTCCAGTCCCTCCCCTCTGCGTGCAGGCAGCTCCCTGCTGACACTCCCTTCAGAAGCAGCAGCTCAAGAGTTACCAAAACAGCCCCAAAACACAGAACTCCACAGTGAAACTCTGAACGCTTTTGTTGCCGGATGAAGGTACCGAGTCCCATGTTTCCTTCCATCTAAAATCTAATACAACTTCTCAATAGAAGCGAGGTCATTGAGGTCATTCTCGCTTCAGGACAAGCTAAAAGAACAAAACCCACAACAATAAGAACCATTCCTACAGACCAGGCAGGAGAGCACAGCGAAGCCAAACGCACCCAGTGAATGAGTAAATGCATTTGATTGATTGAGGGAACCCAACAAAAAGAGAAAAGCACCCAACACATTCAAAAGGAGCAGGGATATTCCCACTCCCCTGCAATTCCTCCATTGGTTGAGTTAGGATTGAACACTGTGTTCTTCAGAAAAGGCTCTGTTCAACCCTTCACAAGCAGCTTTCCTCACTCACCTCCAGCTATAATGTTCTTCCAAGGGGACTTAACCAACAGTTTTAACCATGCTGTTGTTTAGAACAAACCTGGCATTAACACCCGCTGCAGCCCAAGCAGAATTCCCAACTGGAGCCTCCTTCACACCAGCAGGAACCCACAACAGACGTTTTGCCACCCGGGCAGCCTGGGTCAGAGCTGGGGCTGGATGAGCCCCCCCAGCGTTCCACTGAGAGCGCCGGTGCCGTCGGGAGTGGAGCCTGGTGCCGTATTTAGCGCTCAGGTTGCTCTCCAGTGAGGGCCGGCGGTGACTCCTGTCACTTACGCTTTAACCTAACACTGGCAAAGGCACCTGCATTTAGATGAACCATCACAATAAAATCCTGTTTGGAAGTTCCATCCTTTAACCTTTTCTTTGCCAGAAAACCTAGTAAAGCTGCCAAGGGCAAAGCAAGAAGGGGTTTATGTTACACCCGAGGCTGCTTTCCTACAGGGGCACACGCAGGTACCTGTGTGAGCGCTGAAGAAGGAGGAGATGGTGGTTTGCTTCGTGCGCGGCTGAAAGCCTCCGGCCCGTGTCAAAGCAGCGGAGGAGCGTTTCCTTCCCGGAACACGCAGAGGTGCTTTTGGGCTGACTCGGAGGGACTGGGTGGGGAAAGAACCAAGTGAGCAGGCGCTGTTAAACCCACCGTTCCCCCGGCGTTGCGGC